AAAGGGCTTGCACTCTTCGATCGCCGAAGCTCCCGGCGCGCCTCCCGGAGGCGGCGCAGGCGTACTATTGTCCCTGGTTAGGTGAATTCGTAAATTCCGGCGGCGATTTCCTTCGGAAGTGGCGCGCTGTGATACTGAATTAATGGTGTTGGGGCGGAGCCCTGCGGAGTAGCCGTGTCTTATAATAAACCTTTTCCCCGGTTTGCCTTCTGTGGGTTCTCCTGTTACCTGTTCTGTATTGGGGCTTTTGAGCGGCTTTGGGAAGAACATTGGGTCGAAACGACATGGACTGAGTCTGTGGTTTGTGTAAAAGGAGATCGGCTCTTGAATATGTGAGTTCAGGGTCAGAAAAGTCTAGACATGTTGAAAGGTCAAGGGTTGTTCTATGGTGTTGTTTGGGTATGAGGTCATCTAATGCAACGATTGTAGTGTTACCAAATTTAGAATGCATATTTTTATTTAATTGTCTTTGAAGCACCAATGCTAAACCAGTTGATTGGAGGAGTAGCCTACTTAACTGGAAAATCAAGTTGACATTCATTAGAATTATTAGGGGGCAAGATCTGTTGGGGGAAATGTAATAATAGAAAGACAGGAAAGTAAAAGTAATGACCTTGGTAGTGGGGATAATAGGACAACTGAGCTTTGGGGATGGTCTAGTGTATCTGTGATCCCTTCTTCTGATGGGGGAGCGATCCCATTTAAGCTTCTTACTACTTAGTAGTAACTTGGTTTGTACCTCCAGATTCCTCTGCCGGTGGCTGTGCTGAATTATGCAAAAAGGCTTGAAAGCTGCAGGCAAAACTTGCATCACTGATGGAAGCTGATGGATAAGTTGGGGGAGAATACGGTAACCCATTAAGTTGTCGGCATAAAAGGTAAGAGGAGTGAACTTTGTGTGCTTCCGAAAGGCACCAAATATGAAGGGGAGCACCACCTTGGGGGAGACTTCCTGATTATAAAATTCAAACGCAGAGTCAACATCCCCTTGAGAAAAGTTCAAATGAGGTGTGCTCTTACCCTTACATGGTGCCTGAGGAGTAGCCCTTTGGGCTCGACTCATTTTGAAAGGAAACCATCAGGAAGTAGGGGCCATTTGGGGCGGCGCCTTAGGGTTCTCGCCGCGGCTGGGAACCCAAGCAGGCGGGCCCACGGTGGTCTGGCCAGCTTGTGGGGCAAGGATTGGAGCACCCTTATAGGTACTGGCCTTGTAATCCCCAATCTTTTTGCTGGGATCGAGTTTGTCTGTAGGCAACTTGGGAGACCTTGACTACATCGATCTCCAAAGGATACGGATTCTGGGCAGAGGAGTAGACAAAGCTCTGCGTCCAATGCCTGGAAGACTTTCCTACGCGGGCTCCTGGGCCGCCGGGCTGCGAAAGCTGGAGCGCCGCGTCCATCTGAGACTTGTCGGCTGCATCCATCTCACTTTGTACACCGAAAACAACCTTGTTCCAGCTGTAGGCCCACATATTGGGCTCCTCTGCGCCTGCTGGAGGAGTAGCCTCGCAGGCCTCATGGAGCGGGGGACCGACTTCAAGTCTGGCCCGGAAAACCCCGTCCTTCTCGAAATAAAAAAGGCGAGCGCATGCGGTGGCCTGTTCATCGAACTCGCGCACCGCTTGAGGAGTCATGATGGTGAGCGTCTTCCGTAAGACGACCACCTGTGAGTGCTCCAAGACCGTGCTTTCATTGATCAAGGAGAGAATCAGTCTTAGAGGAAGTTCCCACCGAAGGCCTTCATGAATTCAGAGCGGAGATCCCAAGCTTTAAAAGTTAGGGTGGTGATTGTGCTCCACTGGCTGCCGGAAGGAGGAGTAGCCGGGTCAGCCTGAAGCACATTGTAAAAAACATGCTCTGGTTTGAAGTCCTTCACTCCTCTGCGTCCAAGCCAGGCCCGAAAAAACTCCACTTGCTGCATCATCCAGTTTATCATGAAGTGGCGCTCCTCCGGGGTCATCTTGGGGTCCCAGCCTGTGAGGAGTACTTGGAGTCCTGAAACCCTCTTCTGCTCGGTGCGGCACTCGGAGGTAAGCCAGTGAAGGTCTTGTTGCTGCTGCAGAAGCCTGTCGTCCAAGGACTTGATAACTCCCTCCACCTGCGCTATGAGATTGTACATCTCGCCACGAATAACGCCCACGTGGTAAGCACGTACAGTCTCTAAAACGGCGCGTCTGGTTCCTACAGGCTCATCGAGCCAATTCTCCAGAGCCTCCTTGTTGTTCACGTCCACTCCGGTTTGTGCTGCTGTAAGTGCCACCGAAGATGCGTCGTCGTAGTGGAGGGGCTGGAAGAGAGGAGTAACCGGGTCGGCACTGCCAGCGGCTGCGTCACTCATTGGTGCGTCGCCATGGGCCTCTGCACCCCCAGGCGGAGTGGTCAGGCCCGTGCTGGAAAATCCAGCTGTGGAAGGAGGCCCCCTCTTTCCAACACGCCTGCTTTCGAACCACAAGTTCTGCACAGCACTGAACACTGGTTGTGACGTCTGTCGAGCTTGTTGTTGATATTGTTCCATCACTTCCTGCTGGACTCGGTTCTGGGCCGCCATCGCTTGCTGCTGTTGCTCCGTCATGGCTCGGAGCAGTGCCTGAGGAGTGACCCCAGCTACCACCTCCTCTTGAGGAGTAGCCGATGTAACTTCCTCACTTAAAAAACCACTGTCAAGACATGCAAAAACGTAGATGAACCATCCAAGCAATTTGGGGCACATCCTGCAAAAGTCCATGCAAAACCATGCGAAAAGGAGCGGGACCTGTAAGCCAAGCGCCTAGGGATTTGGATTTAGGGTTTAGGGTTTACCGGTTTTGGATTTAGGTTTTAGGGGTCTTGGGATTGAGGGTTTAAGGTGTAGGGGTCTTGGATTTAAGGTTTAGGGGTTTGGGGGTTTTGGGTTTTGGGTTTGGAGGTTTGGGGCTTAGGGTTTAAGGATTCTGGATTTGGGGTTTAGGGGTTTGGGATTTAGGGTTCAGGGCTGTTTTAGGGTTTAGCGTTTAGCGGTTTTGGGTTTTGGGGTTTTAGATTTACGGTTGAGGGTTTAGGGGGTTTGGATGTAGGATTTAGGGTTTGGGGGTTTGGGGGTTTTGGGTTTGTGGTTTAGGGGTTTGGGATTTACGGTTTAGGGTTTGGGTGTTTCGGGTTTAGGGGTTTTGGGGTTATTGTTTTGGGGTTTTGGGATTTAGGGCTTAGAGGTTTTGGATTTAGGGTTTAGGGTTTACGGGTTTTGGATTTAGATTTAGGGGTTTTGGATTTAGGGTTTAGGGTTTAGAGGTTTTGGATTTAGCGTTTAGGGGTTTGGGGGTTTTGGGGGATTTAAGGTTCAGGCGGGTTTTAGGGTTTAGGGTTTAGGGGTTCTGGAATTACAGCTTAGGGTTTAGGAGTTTTGGATTTAGGGTTCAGGAGTTTTGGATTTTGGGGTTCAGGGTTTAGGGGTTTTGGATTTAGGGTCTGGGGGTTTTGGATTCAGGGTTTAGGGTTCAGGTGTTTTGGATTGTGGTTAGGGTTTTGGATTTAGCGTTGCTAGCGTTGGTTTAGGGTTTGGAGGCGTCTGTGTTGGGATTTAAGGTTTAGGGTTTAGAGGTTTTGGATTTGGGGTTTAGGGGTTTTGGATTTAGGGTTTGGGGGTTGTGGATTTAGCGAATACGGTTTAGGGGTTTTGGATTTACGGCTTTGCGGTGTTGGATGTAGTGTATAGGGTTTAGGGGTTTTAGGTTTAGGGTTTGGGGTTTGCTGGTTATTTAGGGGCTTTGGGGTTTGGGATTTAGCGTTTAGGGGTTTTGGATTTAGGGTTTACGGCTTTTGTTTAGGGTTTAGGGGTTTTGGATCTAGGGTTTAGGGTTTTGGATTTAAGGTTTAGGGTTTGAGGTTTTGGGTTTTGGGTCTAGGGGTTTTGGACTTTTTTTTGCTAGGGCCATGCGCGCGAGTCGGCGCGCTTTGGCGTCTGCCCAAAAGCGGGATTTCTCAGCACTCTTACAATGGATGCATACTTTGAGGGTCCAAAGGCGGTGTGGCCCGGGGAATTGTAAATATCCGGAAAGTACTGCTTGGATACCACTTCGACCCAGTATGGGA